GTGCCTTGATTATGCCAGTAATCCCAGCACTTTGGGAAGCCAAGGCAGGAGGATCACTTGAGCCCAGGAGTTTGAGACCAGCCTAGACAACATAGGGAGATGTCATACTACAAAAAAATGAAAAAAATAGCCAGGCGTGGTGGCACATGCTTATAGTCTCAGCTACTTAGGAAGCTGAGGTGGGAGAATCACTGAGCCCTGGAGGTGGAGGTTGCAGTGAGCTGTTATGGTGCCACCGCACTCCAGCCCAAGTGACAGAATGAGATCCTGTCTCAAAAAAAGAAAGAAGGAAAAGAAGGAGGGAAGGAAGGAAGGAAAAGAAAGAAATGATCTGACCTACATTGTTTGAGTGTAGGGTAAAAAAAATCCCCATTCCAGGCTGAGTATACTCAAAATCAGAACCTATCAGCAACGGAACAAGCCCTGATGGAAAAGGACTGTGTTCCATTATCTGAAGTAGGCTTTAAAAGGTGGATGATAAGAAACTTCTGGGAGTTAAAGGAACTTGTTCTAACCCAATGTAAAGAAACTAAGAACTTGGAAAAAAGGTTAGATGAAATGTTGAAAAGAATAGACAATATAGAGAGGAATACAAATGAACTTATGGAGTTGAAAAATACAACACGAGAACTTAGTGAAATATGTACAAGCTTAAACAGCCGAATGGATCAAGCAGAAGAAAGGGTATCAGAGGTCGAAGACCAACTTAATGAAACTAAACGACAAGACAAGAATAGAGAAAAAAGGATAAAAAGGAATGAGCAAAGTCTCCAAGCAATATGGGACTATGTGAAAAGACCTAATATACGCTTGATTGGTGTACCTGAATGTGACGGAGAGAATGAATTCAAGCTGGAAAATACTCTCCAGGACATTATCCAGGAAAATTTTCCTAATTTAGCAAAGCAGGACACTATTCAACCCCAGGCAATACAGAGAACTCCACGAAGATATTCCTCAAGAAGACCAACCCCAAGGCACATAATCGTTAGATTCACCAAGATCGAAACAAAGGAGAAAATATTAAGGGCAGCCAGAGAGAAAGATCAAGTTACCCATAAAGAGAAGCCTATTAGGCTTACAGCAGATCTCTCAATGGAAACCCTACAAGCTAGAAGAGAGTGGGGGCCAATATTCAATATACTTAATCAACAGAACTTTCAGCCCAGAATTTCATATCCTGCCAATTTAAGCTTTACATTTGAAGGAAAAATAAAATCTTTTAGGAACAAGCAAGTACTCAGAGATTTTATTACCACCAGGCCTGCTTTACAAGAACTTCTAACAGAAGCATTATACACAGAAAGGAACAACCAGTATGACCCTTTCTAAAAATACACCAAAAAGTAAAGAGCATTAACATAAAGAAGAATTTTTATAAACGAAAGGACAAAATAGCCAGTTAATATCAAATGGCAGCAACCCTAAATTTAAATCGACCAAATCTCCCAATCAAAAGATACAGACAAAATCTAACGGTATATTCAAAGATATACATAGACTCAAAATAAAGGGTTGAAAAAAAAAACGTACCAACCAAATGGAGAGCAAAAATAAATAAATAAAAAGCAGGAGTCGCAATTTTCACATTTGACAAAATAGATTTCAAAGCTACAAGGATACAAGGGTAAAAGGATTAATGTAATAATAAGAGATCTTAACACCCAGATACATAAGACCCATAATGAGATTTAGATTCAACGAGACAGAAAATTGATAACGATATCTGGGACTGGAACTAAGATCCAGAACAAATAAACTCAATAGAGCTCTCCATTTTAAACACACAAAATATACATTATCCACAAAATCTAACAATATATCTAAAGATATACAAAGACTCAAAACAAGGGGATGGAAAAAAACTCACCAACCAAATGGAGAGCAAAAATAAATAAATAAAAAGCAGGAGTTGCAATTCTCACACTTAATAAAATAGATTTCAAAGCTACAAGGATGCAAGGGTAAAAGGATTAATGTAACAATAAGAGATCTTAACACCCAGATACATAAGACACATAATGAGATTTAGATTCAATGAGACAACAAATTGATAATGATATCCAGGACTTGAACTCAGATCCAGAACAAATAAACACAATAGAGGTCTCCATTTTAAACACATAAAATATGCATTAACCACTTTAAACACTCAAAATATTGATCGGCCATTATTGAAACCCATTTTAGGAATGAAGTAATATTCCTTTTTCCCTCATTTTCTTTTTTTCCCCTTCTTTTTCTCTTTAAAAAAAAAAAAAAAATCCCCATTCCAGAGAGGCCCTACACCCCGCCTCCCAACTCAGAAAGAAGGAACACATGCTCAGAGAGGCCAAGAAGAATCCAGGCAGATGGGCGTGGCTGGGTTTCCCCACTCATTCTATTAGTATTAGAGCATACCCTTTCTGTCCAATTATATTTCTTTTCTTCTTTTTTTTTTTTTTTTTTGAGACAGAGTTTCACTCTTATTGCCCATGCCCAGGCTAGAGTGCAAGGGCACAATCTTGACTCACTGTAACCTCTGCCTCCCAGGTTCAAGTGATTCTCCTGCCTTAGCCTCCTGAGTAGCTGGGATTACAAACATGTGCCACCATGCCCAGCTAATTTTGTAGTTTTAGTAGAGACGGAGTTTTTCTGTGTTGGTCAGGCTGGTCTTGAACTCCCGACCTCAGGTAATCCGCCCGTCTCGGCCTCCTAAAGTGCTGGGATTACAGGTATGAGCCACCGTGCCCGGCCATCCAGTTATATTTCAACAAGACTGTCTATACTTTGATGAATCTAAACATAAAAATAGACAATTTGGCTGGGCATGGTGGCTCAAGCCTGTAATCCCAGCACTTTGGGAGGCCAAGATGGGTGGATCACAAGGTCAAGAGATGGAGACCATCTGGTCAACATGGTAAAACCCTATCTCTACTAAAAATACAAAAAATTAGCTGGGCATGGTGGCGTGTGCCTGTAACCCCAGCTACTCAGGAAGCTGAGGCAGGAGAATTGCTTGAACCCAGGAGGCAGAGGTTGCAGTGAGCTGAGATCGCGCCATTGCACTCCAGCCTGGGTAACAAGAGCAAAACTCTGTCTCAAAAAAAAAAAAAAAAAATAGACAATTTGCCCTCCATCTTTGGGTCTTCATTCTGAAGGCCTCTGTGACACATAAATCTGTGATCCAATAAATTTGTATATTTTTTCTCCTGTTAATCTGCCTCTTGTCAGTGATTTTCAGCAAGCTTTCAGAGGATGAAGGGGGAATTTTTCCTTGGCCTTGATGCAAGCCTGTAGTTCCTTTGGGGTGAGTAGTGTCTCTGGCTGCAGTAAGCTGCCTCAAAGACGGGGCAGGCCTGGAGAGTGAGGTTAGGATGGCACCCACAGAGCAGCAATAGTTCATTCCTGTCCAGGTCGGAGGGTCCTGACCTGGACCCTTCCCCACATCATGACCAGACACAAGAAGACACACGTTCATAGATTCCCTGGCCTCAGAGGAGCAATGAGGCTTCCTGGAAACTCTGGTTTTTGAAAATCGTGTCCTAGGAATGGAGGAATTCCCTACACTTTCTCTCCTCTACCTTCAGGCTCATGTAAAGACCTGGGAGAATATATGACAAAGTGCTAACAAAGGTTACTCTGTGCAGTTGGAATATGGGTGATTTTTATTCTATTGTTCTTTTTGGCTCATTATGTTTTCTAAGATTTCTTTTCCCTACATTGAACATATATCATTTGTTTAATGTTTAAAATATGCTGTAAAGAGAGAAAATCCTTTGCGATTGTTCATGCCTGCAATCCCAATGCTTTGGGAGCTCAAGGCAGGAGGATAGCTTGAGTCCGAGGAATTAAAGGCTGCAGTGAGCTATGATCACACCACTGCACTCCAGCGTAGGTGAGAGAGCAAGACCTAGTCTCAAAAGAGAGAGAGAGAATCTCAACATTGTCTCAGTCTTAAGACATCCCTGCACTCCCTTCTGTCCCATCTCCCTCCCCTCTGACCTACCTGCTACTCTGGGCTCATTCCCTGAGTCTGAACCTGCTTTAATGCAGGCCTTGCTGGTGCAGAAGGCATTGAGGCCAGGTCATTCAGGTAAGGTAAGCCGTGGCTTGGCCAAGAGGAGTGGGAATGATGCGGGCCAGGGAAGCAGGGAGGCCACCCTAGCCTGGCCTGACTGGGGAGAGACGTCCTGTGGTGGGGGTCGGGGGGTGGGAGTGCAGGCTGCCATGGGAGCAGAGGCCCCATAGCCTGGGCCTTCCAATGCCAGGCTAGGATTTCCACACACCCTTTATCCATTCGGTCCTTCCCGGTGTGTACTGTGCTCTGCCGGCGCAGGCCAGGACTTATCATAGCAGCTACAGTTGGACAGGGGAAATGGGCAGAATATAACTGTATGAGTAATTAACTACAGATGTGGCAGGGCTACGAGGAATGTTTAGCCTGCTGCCGTGAGCGGAAACTGGAAAAACCTGGGCCAGGTTTCCCTGAAGGCGGCCATTTAAGCTAAGTTTGGAAGGAGGATGGGAGTCATGGGGGAGCGAGTGGGTGTGGAACATTCTGAAAGGAGCAGTGTACACGAAGGCCCTGTGGTGGGAAGGAGCTGGGCCAGTGGAGGAACAGAGAAATGGCTGGAGCGGCTGGGGCTTGTAAGCATGTTGAGGGGTCTATGTTGGTTTCCAAGAACTGCCATAAGAAGACATCACAGATTTGGTGGCTAAAAACAGCAAATGTTTATTCTGTCATAGTTCCAGAGGCTAGAAGTCCAAAACAAGGTGTTGGTAGGGCAGGGCCACACTTCCTCTGAAATCTCTAGATTAGCAGTCCCCAGCATTTTTGGCACCAGGGACTGGTTTCTTGGAAGATAATTTTTCCTCAGACCAGAAGGGGGATAATTTCGGGATGAAACTGTTCACCTTACATCCGAGCATTGGTTAGATTTTCCTAAGGAGCGCACAACCTAGATCACTTGCATGCGCAGTTCGCAATTGAGTTCTCGCTTCTAGAGAATCTAATGCTGATCCTTTTGCAGTTCACGAGCATGATGATTGGGTGTTCACACGCTTATGTGAGATGTGCCACTCTTTAACCTTATTAGGAAGTCGGCACATTATCCATCTAACCTGAAATTAAAAAAAAAAAAAAAGAATCTAACGCTGCCACTGATCTGACAGGAGGCAGAGCTCTCTCCCACTGTGGCCCGTTTCCTAACAGGCCACAGACCAGTACTGGTCCAAGGCCCAAGGACTGGGGACCCCTGCTCTAGAGGAGGATCTCTTCTTGCCACTTAAACCTTCCGGGAGTCCCAAGTATGCCGGGACCAAACCTCTGCCTCCTTTGTCACATGGCATTCTCCCTTCTGTGTGTGTCTGTCTTCTCTTGAAGACACAGGTAAGGTGCAGTGGTTCATGTCTGTAATCCTAGCACTTTGGGAGGCCAAGGCAGGAGGATTGCTTGAGGCCAGAATTCAAGTCCAGCCTTGGCAACATAGGGAAACCCCATCTCTTAAAAAAAAAAAAAAATGATTAGGGGTGGTGGCTCATGCCTGTAATCTCAGCACTTTGGGAGGCCAAGGCAGGCAGCTCACCTGAGGTCAGGAGTTCAAGACCAGCCTGGCCAACATGGTGAAACCCCATCTCTACTAAAAATACAAAAAATTAGCTGGTCATGGTGGCAGGCACCTGTAATCCCAGCTACTAGGGAGGCTGAAGTAGGAGAATCGCTTGAACCCTGGAGGTGGAGGTTGCAGTGAGCTGAGATTGCACCACTGCACTCCAGCCTGGGGGACAGAGTGAGACTCTGTCTCAAAAAAAAAAAAAAAAGCACCAGTTATTGGAGTAGGACCCACCTATCTGCAAAGGCTCTATTTCCAAGTAAGATCACATTCACAGCTACCCTAGGTTAGGACTTCAGCATTATCTTTTTGGAGACGCAACTTGATCCATAACAGGGTCAGTGGTGTAAGAATGGGACTGGAGGGTGGGTGTGACCCTGTGGGCTGTGGCCAGGGCCTCAGCACCTAGGAAGTGTCACAACAGCTGCATGCATAGGATTGTCCTCAGCAGTCAGACACATCAGCTGTATTGACAGGCAACGACGTCGCAGCTCTTCCAGACTGACCATCTGGTCCTCCAAAGAGGAAGCCGAGGGCCATGGAGGGAAGTTAGGCCCAAGTTCCAGGTTGTCTAGTTTACTGGCTTTGACTGTCAGGCCGGTGGTGCTGAGTTCCCACACTCCGCTGACAGCCTGCTCCTGGGCCTCCTACTCACTTCCTGCTAGTTGCTTCTTCCCTCCAAACACCCCGGAAGTACTGGTCTGGGCTGACTCTCATTTCTATTTCTAGGTGAGTTGCAGCTCTCACAGGTTTTCTCTGAAACTCATCATCAGTGTTCCTGATGAGAAATAAGCCCCCATGCTTTCATTCAGGGGATGCTGGGCCCTGAACAGAGTGTGAATGGGGTAGGGAGGCCTCTGGCCTCTACGAAGCCTCTCTTTTGCCCACACAACCTCAGTGCCCATTAATACTGCCAGAACAGGGACGCTGGGGGATTTTAATATCAGTTGATCACAGTAGACCCGGTTTCCAATCTGGCCTCTGCTTCTCCTGGCTGTGTGACCTTGGCCCAGATAGGCAACCTCTTTAAACCTAAATTTCCTGATACTTAAAATGAAGATAGCAATATATTTTATCTGACAGAATTGTCTTGAGAATAGAAAGAAATAATGCATGTGCAGACCTGACCTGTAAATGCTCAGTAATTTCTCCTTTTTTTTTTTTGAGACAGAGTCTCGCATCTCGCTCTGTCACCCTGGCTAGAATGTAGTGGCACAATCTTGGCTCGCTGCAACCTCCGTCTCCCAGGTTCAAGCATTCCGAGTAGCTGGGACCACAGGTACATGCCACCACACCCAACTAATTTTTGAGGTTTTTGTTTTTTTTTTTAAGATGGAGCCTTGCTCTGTCACCAGGCTGGAGTGCTGTGGCACAATCTCGGCTCACTGCAACCTCTGCCTCCTGGGTTCAAGCGATTCTTCCAGCTCAGCCTCCCGAGTAGCTGGGACCACAGGCATGTGCCACCATGCCTGGCTAATTTTTCTATTTTTAGTAGAGACAGGGTTTCATCATGTTGGCTGGGATGGTCTCCATCTCTTGACCTCGTGATCCGCCTGCCTCAGCCTCCCAAAGTGCTGGGATTACAGGCGTGAGCCACTGTGCCTGGCCTAATTTTTGTATTTTTATTAGAGACGGGTTTCACCATGTTGGCCAGGCTGGTCTCGAACTCCTGACCTCAAGTGATCCACCTGTCTTGGCCTCCCAAAGTGCTGGGATTACAGCCATGAGGCACCCTGCCCGGCCGTTTTTTGTTGTTGTTGTTTTTGCTTGTTGTTTGTTTTGAGACAGGGTCTGTCTCCCAGGCTGCAGTGCAGTGCAGTGACAATCACAGCTCACTAGAGCCTCAACCTCCCAGACTCAGGCAATCCTGCCACCTCAGTCTCCCAAGTAGCAAAAACTATAGACTTGTGCCACCATGCCTAGCTAATTTTTGTATTTTTTTGTAGAGATGGGGTTTCACCAGGTTGCCCAGGCTGGCGTAGAACTCCTAAACTCAAGCAATTCACTTACCTTGGCCTCCCAAAGTGCTAGCCTTACAGGTGTGAGCCACTGCACCCTGACAGTAATTGCTAACTCTTATGACCATCATTATCACCACTGACAATCACACTCTTGGGAGTTGCCAGCCCCCTGTCACTTTGGTTTCTATCTTGGGCTCAGATCACCTCTCCTGCAGACGCAGAGATTTGATGTCTAATCCAGGGGTGGCTTCTGGGTCTAACTCCAGCTGCCCCTCTGTTATAATTCTATTGTCCTGTCATGGAACTAATATTGTGTCATGGTCTTCCCTAGACAGGCTGCTATCCTAGTAGACATGATGGGGAAAGAGGGAATAGATGATGGCGCATTTGGGGGCAGGGAAGTGCAGCTGGCTGGCAGAGCTACTGTATCTTCAGGAACTAAACAACGGACCCACATTTTCTTGGAAGGAGGTATCTAGCAGGATACAGAGATCTACCATTTATTTATTTATTCATTTTGGTAACAATTTTATTGAGACATAAGTCACATATCATATAGCTCACCAACTTAAAGCATACAATTTAATTCAGTGGTTTTAAATATATTCACATAGCTGTGCAGTCATCACCACAGTTAATTTTAGAACATTTTTGTCACTCCCAAAAGAAACCTGTATCTTTAGCCATTGATATCATTTGGCTGTGTCCCCACCCAAAATCTCATCTTGAATGGTAATCCCCATAATCCCTACGTGTAAAGGGTGGGACCAGGTGGAGGTAATTGGGTCATGGGGTGGTTTCCCCCATGCAATTTTCTGGATAATGAGTGAGTCTCATGAGATCTGATGGCTTTATAAGTGTCTGGCATTTCTCCTGCTTACACTCATTTCATCTTACCGCCCTGTGAAAAAGGTGCCTGCTTCTCCTTTGCCTTCTGCCATGATTGTAAAGTTTCCTGAGGCCTACCCAGCCAGGCAGAACTGTGAGCCAATTAAACCTCTTCCCTTTGGCCAGGCACTGTGGCTCACGCCTGTAATCCCAACACTTTGGGAAGCCGAGACAGGCGGATCACCTGAGGTTGGGAGTTCAAGACCAGCCTGACCAACATGGAGAAACCCCATCTCTACTAAAAATACAAAAAATTAGTCAGGCTTAGTGGCACATGCCTGTAATCCCATCTACTCAAGAGGCTGAGGCAGGAGAATTGCTTGAACCCAGGAGGCAGAGGTTACAGTGAGCCAAGATCGTGTCACTGCACTCCAGCCTAGGCAACAAGAATGAAACTCTGTCTCAAAAAACAGGAAAACCTCTTTCCTTTGTAAATTACTCGGTCTCGGTATTTCTTGATAGCAGTGTGAGAATGGACTAATACAGCCATCAACCACCAACACCGATATCTCATTCCAGACAACCGCTAATCTGCTTTCTGTATCTATAGATTTGCCTATAGTAGACACAACTTACATGGAATCATGCAATATGTGATTGTGTCTGACTTCTTAGAATCATGTTTTTGTTTGTTTGTTTGTTTTTGTGAGTGTGTGTTTGAGACAAAGTCTCACTTTGTCACCGAGGCTGGAGTACAATGGCGTGATCTCGGCTCACTGCAACCTCTGCCTCCTGGGTTCAAGCAAGTCTTCTGCCTCAGCCTCCTGAGTAGCTGGGATTACAAGCAGGAGTCATCATGCCCAGATAATTTTTTTTGTATTTTTAATAGAGATAGGGTTACACCATGTTGGCCAGGCTGGTCTCGAACTCCTGACCTCAAATGATCCACCCACCTCAGCCTCCCAAAGTGCTGGAATTACAGGCATGAGCCACTGTGCCTGACCCTTAGCATCGTGTTTTATAGGTTTACCCATGTTGTAGCATGTATCAGTACTTCATTCCTTTTTATCGCCAAAAATATTCCATTGTGTATAATATTCCGTTGATGAAGTGATATCTTATGTTTTTATTAAAAAAAATTTTTGGCTGGGCACAGTGACTCACACCTGTAATCCCAGCACTTTGGAAGGCTGAAGCAAGCAGATCACGAGGTTCGGAGATGGAGACTATCCTGGCTAATACAGTGAAATCCCATCTCTATGAAAAATACAAAAAATTAGCTGGGAATGGTGGCACGTGTCTGTAGTCCCGGCCAATCGGGAGGCTGAGGCAGGAGAATTGCTTGAACCCGGGAGGCGGAGGTTGCAGTGAGCCGAGATCTCACCACTGTACTCCAGCCTGGTGACAGAGCAAGACTCCATCTCAAAAAAAAAAAAATTGGGGGGCCAGGTGCAGAGGCTCACGCTTGTAATCCCAGCACTTTGGGAGGCCAAGGTGGGCAGATCACCTGAGGTCAGGAACTCAAGAACAGCCTGGCCAACAGGGTGAAACCCTGCCTCTACTAAAAATACAAAAATCAGCCAGGCCTGGTGGCACATGCCTGTAATCCCAGCTGCTTAGGAGGCTGAGGCAGGAGAATCCCTTGAACCTGGAAAGTGAAAGTTGCAATGAGCCGAGGTCATGCCACTGTACTCCAGCCTGGGCGACAGAGTGAGACTCCA